CCTGATCCGCTGTCACGGTAATGGACGACTCGACCCCGACGCCCACCCAGCAAAAACGTCCTCGCGTGGCCGAAGAAAACCGCAAGCGAGCTGTTCGAGCGTATGCTATCGCCCCAGTATATCAATTAAATCGGACTCTCTAACTCAATCGGTTTTGCGCAGGTGCGATGGTTGTCGCCGGGTGAAAGAGAAATGCGAAGGAGGTGTGCCCTGTCGGAGATGTCTGCGATATCGCCGCCAATGCAATTTTACTCACATTGACCCCAATGAAAAGACCCGGTCAACGTCTGTCTCGTAGGTCTACTGCATAACCATATCCTATTGCCATCTAAACCACTAATGGCGCAACCCCTGATACCAGACTTTTGGACCGAGCAGCCGCCCAGAGTCGAAATGACATCGCTGAGGCAGAACGGGTGCGCCTGATGGAACGTCTCCTGTCGCATTATATACCCAATATCACTTTCGATATTCAGTCTCTGCGCCAGGCTGCAGAGGATCTGAAGACCAAACACCGCGATTCTGAGTCAGATGCGATTTCCACCCGGGAAGACCCCAATGAGCTGGAGGATCTGGCTATTGATGAGGAGGATTTTACAATCAAGGCCATGGCCGATAACACAACCGGTATGTTGATCACCAGAGTACATATATGGGGATTTCTTGATTGACACTATTTCTCAGAATATTCCGGGGAATTTTCATACTTGAATTTCACAATGAAGATCCGGAAGAAAATCGATGAGTGGATGAAGACTGCAGCACCCGAGGTAGGTTCCCGTGAATTGTCGGTGAGCGAAGCCACTCATGCTAAACCCAACCCCGCAGGCAACCTCTGAAGTTGAGCCTTTTGAAGAACGATGGCGAAGTACACAACTGCAGTCCGCGTCACCTCAGGTGTCTTCCTCAATTACATGTCTACCGCCGCGCTATGTCGCCGATTTTCTTGTCCAGATCTTCTTCAAATACGCACAAACCAATAACTTCTACATTGAGGAAGATTGGTTAATTGAGAAATTAGGTATCTGCTACACTGACCCTGAAAGTTTGTCATTTGATGATGCAGGCGCGGTGTGCTGTATTCTTATGGTCCTGGCGGTGGGCACTCAATTTGCACATATGGAGTCGTCAACGCCCGTGAATTGTTTGCCCTCGGATTCTACGGCAAACCAGGACCACCACTTCTCGGAAGATGAGGTCGGACTCACATTCTACCAATTTGCCTCGAGGCTTGTACCAGACATTATCGCCACCGCTTCGGTTCGAAGTGTGCAGGCCTGTCTACTTATTGGGACGTACTTGCTTCCATTGGATACTTCAGGGTTATGCTACACATACTTTGGCCTAGCACTGAAATTGGCCATTCAAAATGGAATGCATCGGAGGTATCACGGCGAAGGCCTGTCTCCGCGCATGATCGAAGTGCGAAATCGGGTTTTCTGGACAGCTTTTACTATTGAAAAGCGTGTAAGCATTCTCCACGGCAGACCGTCATCGTTATCGGACCGCGACGTTGATGGTCCCCTGCCAGTCGATTTCCCCGGATTAATGCCCATCCATCGACCCTCAAACCATACAAATATGGTAACACTAATAACATTGACTTTGAAGCTTGGAGAGGTGTCAAATGAAATTACCTCATTGCGAAAGTACCGCAAAGATCAACAGCAGGACTGTCTGGAACGATTGCTGAATTTCCGGAAACATCTCGTTGATTGGTGGTCGACTCTACCAGAAGAGATTACCTGTCGCGATTTAAATCCCGCAGGTCCGCTTTTCAGGTCTAATGTCCATCTCAAGCTAGATTACTGTCTGACTAGAGTCTTCATTGGACGACCCTTCCTTTTCAGTAATATCAAAGGCATCTCCCAGACCCTCTCTCAAGGCCCGCCGTACAAGGGCTCCGCCGCTCTATCTGGGTTGTCAAAGAACCGTGCGACTCTTGTTACAGATTGCGTGGAAGCGGCTCTGGAAATCATCGATTTATGCCGGTTGCTCCGTGACGAGACTGGTCTCGCGCGAGCCTCGTTTACAGAATTTAGTTCATGCCGTGCAGCTTTGTTGGTCATTTTAGCCCAGGGTCTAACTAAACGAACCGAAAGACTCGGTGCTGCTCTCGAGCAGGGAATTTCCCTAATCAAGATTATGTCTATGGGTGTTGGCTCAGCTCGTTCAGCTGTTAGTGTCATAGAAGCGCTCGAACGTGCCATTCGCCGTCTCGAAGCATGGAGCGAGACCCAGCCGGATATGAGTAGCGGAGGTGCTGTCGAGTCCGCCTACGACCGGTTCAAAAACTGGGAAATGCTTTGGAAAGCAGGACCTATCTCGCCTTCCACGCTCGCGTGGCAACAGCAGGAAAATTATGCTTCAAATGAGCAAAATGTCCCGCAACGTGCACTGTCTCAAGCGCCTACTATGACGGGTCCTTCTAATATTCTCCATGGCATGGCCTTGACACCTCCTTCTGCGGCTATGATTGGAGTGGGCGGTGTTGTTACAACACCTGCTGCGCCTAACCAGAGCATCCCAGAAGGCGAAGAAGTCCCACTCCCGGATACTTTCTCCATTTCTCAGCAGTCCCTCTCACAGATGCCACACTTTGGCTTTGATCATTTTGTTTCCAATTTCCCACAAGAATTGGGCGAGTTTACTGCTATTCCTTGCTTCGAGCCAGATTCACAGGGTCAGTCTAATGGTTTACCTGGTGCTGAAATGAAGGCCCCTAGTGGTGGATCTGACCCCCCTAACTGGTTGAACTTCATGAGGGATCCATGATCAGCGTTTTTTTTTTTTTTCTTTCTATCTTGCTTTGTTTATTAAGCAGCGACTCATTTATACAACACGTTTGGGTTGGGCCTTACAACTTTGATTTTCGTTTTCTTGGTATACCATCTTGCGGCTGTTTATGTTTCACTGCTATATATTGCACCTGGGTGGTGGAACTCTCGGAAATTGTACACAGCGTATTCCCAATGCATCAATTTATATATTGCCAGTAATCCGTCTCTTATTGGTCTGGGTCGGATGACTTTAAACCTGTATCACATAGAGAGATCGTAATATCTGCTTGCTTGTTTGGAACGAACCTCAAACATTGATTGATTGATTGATATATATATATATATATATATAATGCCCATAACACTAATCGAACGTAACCTTCTTTCCAGAGAAAGTAGCTGCCGTCTGCTCCTTGGCTTTCCGCTTCGCCTCCCAAGAGGGATGCAATGGACCTTCGTCCTTAGGCGGACCACCTTTAGGCTTGCCACCAGAATGCTGCCCGGAGCGAGGCCCAGCAGGACCATCTCTCTGAGGCCGCGCAGGCCCACTGCCGAAACCACCACGTCTGCCTCCTCTCCCTCCTCTCCCACCTCGCGAACCGTCAGTTGCTCCGCGCTTCGTATCCCAACCATTATCTCTACCACCATACTTCGCAGCCAGCTGCTCCTGCTTGACATGGTTTGCAGTAGCTCCATACTTTTTCTCCCACAAAGCCCGACGCGCCTGCTGACCCATTCGGTTCTTACGAACAGGCTTCTTGCCGGAATCTTCCTCATCAGTAGCTTCTTCCGAGCCAGACCAGTAACCACCGTGCATTAGAGACGGCAGGAACGTTGTGGTTTTCAAAGCTTCAGTAGAACCCTTGGTTCCCTTCGCTTTCTTGGGTGGCGGGGAGTCCGCAGAGAAGGATGGTGATGGGGAGCGGGAGATAGAATCAGAGATATCGTCTGCGGCGAGATCTTCCTCGTCGCCGGATTCCGAGTCAGCTTCCGAGTCTGATCCCGGTCCAAGTCGCGAGTTAAATTGTGAGAGGTCTTCGTCTCCGGATTCTTCTGAGCCGGAGATGTCCATATCGTTCGCGGAGCGAGAGACCTGCTCGCCGCGCCGGGGTTTTGTCGTCGCTGTCTCTGATTCAGACTCCGATCCACTGGTTTCCTTCCGTGCCTTCTTTGCTGGCGCATCCTCCTTGCTAGTCTCTTTTGTCGCCTTGCTAGTCGGCGCGTCGTCGATTCGAAGTAGTTTCCGAATGCCCGCCATAATCCCGGGCAATTCTTTCTGCACTGGAGTGGATTTGAATAGCCGTGCTAGGATATTGGCTTCGGCGGTGGTCTTCGGTCCATCCTGAGAGACTTTCTTGACGGCCTGGAACTCTCCAAATGTCCGTGTTTCTGCGATTCGCTTCGTTCTGATAAGTTGCTTGAACAGGTATCGTTCGGATGTGACATGGTAATCGAGACCCTGTAAGCAAATATTAGCAATTGAGTTTTTAGGCGAAGACCCTTTGCAAAGCCGTCTGCATGTCCGCAGTGACAATAACTGCATACCTTCAAAGTCTCGATTTCTTCCTTTAGTCGTGCCAAAGCCTTCTCGTCCTTTTGCTGCTTTGCTGTCTTCTCTCGCCGACTTAGCTTTTGTCGCTCAAAGCCGCGCGATGTCTTGAGACCACGCATGATCATCAATACGCCGTTCTCGAACATTTGCGTCAACCGGGTGCCGTGGATGGACATTTTGCGAGTGTCGCTGGACCGCGCGGGACCGCTGACTTCTTCGAGCTTGCGCTTGGGCATTTTTTCGGTGGTATGAGGGTATGAATATGTGCGGTATTCAGATAAACGAGTTAAAGAGTTTATGACTCGTTGAACAAAAAAACCGTGAGCAGTTACGAGGGTCGTGTTGATCGTCGGATGTTGGTGTAGCTTAATTTTTTTTTGGGGCGGATCCCGGTGCCAAGACAGACGCTTACAATGGCCATCGCGAATCAATCCGTTTGATATCTAGTTCAAGCTATATGTTTCTAGGTACATTCCGATTATGATAAATAAGTAAATGCTCAGTACGAGTCATTGTAGGTTAGCTTTATGAGTGAGCCCACACGAATTAACTGCTACGTGTACTACATTGCTGGATATATTGCTTGAACAAAAAAAGACCATCGATTAACACTGACGGATATGTACATACAAACATGGCAAAGAAAATGATACGCATACAGAACCTCTCTATTTCTTTTCTTCCTCCTTCTCCTCCGGCTTGGGGGTCGGAAGCTTGAACTATAGTTGAACAGGTCAGGGTAATGTCTTTTAGCAAGGGAGATAATATGACTTACGGACTCGGGAGTGCGGTCTTGACCCGCACCCACGGGCTCCCAAGCAGTAGAGCCGCTCTCGAAGTTGCGGAACGCCTGGGTGAGCTCAAGGGGCTCAATAACGATGCGCTTCTTCTCTTCGTCGTAGCGCAGCTCAGTATAACCGGTCAAGGGGAAGTCCTTGCGCAGTGGGTGGCCGTCGAAGCCGTAATCGGTCATGATGCGGCGCAGATCAGGGTGTCCAGAGAAGAACACACCGAACATGTCGTACACCTCACGCTCGTACCACAGAGCACCCTCGAAGAGACCAGTCACACTGGGCACGGGGGTGGCCTCATCCGCGTAGGTCTTAACACGGATACGGGAGTTGTGACGAACACTGAGCAGATTGTAGACAACTTCAAAACGCTGGTCGCGGGTGGGGAAGTCGACACCCGTGATATCGGAGACCTGGGTGAACTCGGCGGCAGTGTGGTTCTTGAGGAAGCTCATCACGGGAACAACACCGGCGGGAGCGGTGTAAACGGTGAGCTCATCCTTCCAGACGGTGAACTGCTGGATATATTTGGGCAGGCAGGACATAACGTACTGCCCATAGGCGTGCAGGCTCTCGGCCATGGGCTGGTACTTGTCGGTAGGGTTGACCACGGGGGGCACGTAGGGGTCCCGAGGCTGGCAAAACAGGGTTCGGTTAGCTCAATTGTATCCTATCTTTCGGCTGGTCCATTGCACATACGCGGGCGCTGCGCCTGGCGCATGTTCTCAGGTTCCGGGCCCGGTGCTGTCGAGGCCTTGGGGGCACACTGAAGGGAGGCTGAGGAAAAGGTGCGGGCGGCCATGGACCTCGTGGCGGATGCCACAGAGCGTCCAGAACCCAGGCGCATCAAAGAGCGTGCGGAGGCCATTGTGTAGAAGGAGCAATGGCAGATGCAACGGGAGGAGGGGACGGAGGCACGTAAGTCGGATTGTGAAGGTTTAGAGTGGTCGAGCACTTTTGGTCACGTGTTGGGCACACGCTAAACTCAATCGGGCAATGCCAGCAAAATGAAGCCGCGCTTCACAATTTCCTTCCTTCTTCTCCCCATTCACCCTCTTCTATCAATCATCTCCACCCTTTCTTTTGCCCTCTCTTAGTCTCGTTCCTCTCCAAACATCTAATCGCTGTTCGTCTTTCTACACTTTGCAGGGCAGCGTACTTCTTTTATTTTCACAGTTTCTCGTCCGATTTAATCAGGTGTCGGCGTTTGAGATCTCGTGTCCCTCTCCGGTTGTCACCACATTCCCCGCAACCATGTCTGGTCTTTCATTGATCGATTCCGTCATCGACGACGATGACGAGTTCTGGTACGTCTTGACGCTCATTCAACCCGCGCGATCTGTGTACTAATCACCCCACAGCCCCCTGTGCATTGAAGAGTTCGATCTTTCCGATAAGAATTTTAAACCGTGTCCTTGTGGATACCAGGTACGTTCTGATCATAATTCTCGATGCGATTTTGTCACTACTCGCCTTGTTATGACAGGGACAGATCGCTCGTTTTTGTCTCCCTGTCCCAGACCTAACCTGTGATCTTTTTTTTATAGATTTGCCAATTCTGCTACAATAATATCAAAACGCAAAATGAAGAAGGACGATGCCCCAACTGTCGGCGCGGATATGATGAAAGTACCATCGAGTACAAGATTCCTGACGTTGAGGAGTGAGTTGACCCATACTTTGTGATATCTTCGCCACATCCCAACTAACATACTGTGTGTAGGTTCAAGGCAGACTTGGCACTGAAACACCGTAAGGCGGCGGCTGCGAAAAAGAAGGAAGCCGAAAAGCGTGAAATCGAGGCCTCCAGTCGGAAGAACTTAGCCGGTGTCCGCGTGGTCCAAAAGAACTTGGTCTACGTTATCGGCCTCAACCCTACGATCCGAGACGAAAATCAACTCCTTCAAACGCTCCGTGGACGGGAATATTTCGGTCAATATGGCGAGATTGAGAAGATCGTGGTCAGCAAGGCTAAGCCCGGCGGTAACCCCAACCAGGGAATTGGTGTTTACGTGACTTTCTCGCGCAAAGCCGATGCTGCGATGTGCATCAACGCCGTGGACGGTTCTGGAAATGGCGATCGAGTGCTCAGGGCGCAATACGGAACAACCAAATATTGCTCCTCCTTCCTTCGCAATGAACAGTGCAATAATCGGAACTGCACTTTCTTGCACGAGACTGGGGAGGACAGCGACAGTTACAGCCGCCAGGATCTCTCATCTATGAACACGATTTCCACCCAACGCCCAAATATCCCACCTACTCCCTCTCACGTGAGGTCCGCTCAACCCATCGCCCATCCCATGCGCCGGCAACCGAGCAAGGATGACTCGATCAGTAGTCGCACCGGCGTACCAGATGGCCCGGCTCTGCCATCAACCGCCAGTTGGGCTAACAAAGATGTTGCTATTCAGCGAACCAGGAGGACTAGTCTTACTGGCAGTCAAGCCTCCATTAATAGCCCACGACCAGCTAGTGTCAATGTGGCGACCCCAGTTGAAGAACCGAAGCGAGCAGAGAAGCCATCTCCGATTTCCCAAGAAGCCCCACAATCAACTTCCCAGGTTGATCCTCAATCCCCCGCCCCGCAACCACGCCCTCGCCGTGCGCCTCAACCCCCGAAGCTGCCATCACCCTTTGACACTTTGCTCAAGGATATCAACTCTCCGGATTTCAAGTTTTCCTTTAGCACGGCCGAATTGAGTGCGGAAGAGGTGAAGTTAATCAAGGATTACCCGTCTTTCATTGACCCATATGGCGGCGTCAAGCGCAGAGCAATGCGCGAGAAAGTCGAACAGGAGCGTCTGAGCCGCGAGCACGAGTTGCTCCAGTCTGTTGCAGCCGAGGAGGATAGCCGTGAAGCTGGTAGCCTCCAGCTAGGTGGTGAGCCAGAGGAAGCCAATCCTCCGCGCAATCGCCAGACCCGGGAGTCTCACGGTGCTATTCAGCCGCCTTCGCAACAGGACACTGCGGACAACTCAACTGTTGGATCTCCTGTCTCTGCCACTAGCCATCAATTCCAAGGCTTGAACCTCGCTGGACGAAGCTTAACTCCCTTGCAGCAACAACAGTTGATGCTACTTAAGTCCGCCGGCAATCAACAAGCTGGTCTGGCTGATCCCCTCAGCTCTGCCGCTCTGGACCAAGCTGCCCAAGTCCGCCAAGGCCTTGTGCAGAACCAGATGGCACAGTTCAATGCGCTGCAGGCAGCACAGAACCGACAGTCTTCCAGATTCTCCTTTGCAAATGAGGTCGGCTCTAAGAATATGCCCAACGCACGCATGCTGGGTCAAATGCAATCTTCATCTCCCAACCCTCTTTCGGCCCCAAGCCCTCAACACAGTCTTGCAGCAAGCGGTTTCTATGCCAGTGGTGTGCAGGGGCCCCCCGCCGGGATTGAAGACGGCCGGTACCCCTCCCATTAGTGGTGGTGGAATGTTCGCACAAGGACATGGTTTCACCTCTGGGCTTGGTGGTAATGGAGGAAAGCAAGATCCGACTCCCGAGTTAATGCGCGAACTACTACGTGGACGAACTGGTACGAATGTTGGTGGTTTACAGGGCCAAGAGGCAGCTAAGCGTGAGTTCATGTTCCCTTTTCTTCAACAGCACAATACCCCGCCCCCCATGACTCCTGTCAATGGCCTTCTCAGCTCCTTCTATGGGCCCCAAACGGGTGTAATGCCTGATTCCGGCCCACAGAAGCAGAAGAAGAAGGGGAAGAAGCACAGACACGCTAACACTTCCTCCGGTGGAGGTGGTGTAGTAGATCTTGCGGACCCGAGCATTTTGCAGGCGAGAATGCATCAAGTCGGTGCGAATGCTACTGCTGGGCAGGCGTTGTACGGGAGTCAGGGTCAAGGTGGGTACAACCCCTCGATGGTGTATGGTGGTGGCATCAGTCGGTGGTGAATCCCATGGTTTCCCTTCAACCTCTTGTTCCCGTGATTTGATTTCCTGCGTTTTCCTCGCCTTTTCGCTATGACCTTCCCTTGATGGGCCTGATTTATCCTGATGACATGATATCAATTCCCTTTCTTTCTTCTCCTCGACATGGAGGCCTTGCATATGTTGTTTCTGTTTTATTCGCGGTCAGACCGACAGCTCTGATTTATGCGATGGCTGGACGTTCACCTGGCGCACTAGGGTCTTTCGCCTGCCTCCTTCAATTGCTATTTATTTCTTGCATGTTTCCTCTGGCTCTTTCCAGGTGTCTTCGCATTTCATGGACATACGGGCGTGTGTTCCGGGCTCCCTTTGTATTCGGCGGCTGTGTATTCCCTTTCTACTGTTCTTTTTTTTGCATCCGGACTTCCATTATATGATCTGCTGTGTCTTGAAGACCTCGGGTGTTTATTATGGATTAATGTACGTTAAGATCTCCCTACCCTGATACCACAAGCCGAAAAGGGTCTTATTCGAAATCAGTTTCCTCACAGCCGCCGTTTACATAGACGCCCTGTCCTACACTGTGCCTGGTCCGGGAGATGCCCATCATGTAATTATCTCGTGGTCTTTTTGTATTTCGCTTAGTCGTCCTGCTGCTGCTGCTGCTGCTGCTGCTTAGTTCTCACCATCGTCTGAAGCGATTTCGATCTGATCTTTACCTCACCTTCATCTGACCACTTCCATCGCCACGTTTTGCTTTATTGGACATTCGCTGACTCAATGCTCTAGTAAATGAGGACTTCCCCCCTCTTGGAGATCAATCCAAAGATCGACGACCTGTTGACAGCTTTGGCTTTTTGAAGTCTCAGTTGCCTGGCGAGTCAGCCGCTCGTGCTGGAACTCCAACTCTGCCACCTGGACTGCCTTTACCCCATGCTCATCCCTCCTCTTCTGTCTTTCAGGAACACAACTCCTCTAAACCTTCGTCTCCTGCCCCGGTTCTCCCACCTGGATTGACGCCTAGTATTTCGCGACTGAACAGCCCATCGCAGAGCCGTATTGGCAGCCCCTCTCGTCTTTTAAGTCCTGAGCTCACCGTGGGTGGACCCTTGACATCAAGCCGCGTGAAGGACGCCTCTCAAATCTCCTTTGGATCGCCCGTGCAAAAGCCCGCGAGCAAGGCTCGTACCCAACGCAAGAGCGAGTTCAACATTGGAGCTGATTTCAAAGACTCCCCTGCAAAGGCTACACACCAGATGCAGCCGAGTTCTGCCACTACGAAAGGAAGCCCACTCGATTTTGGCTCCCCGCTACCCCTATCCGCCAAGACTGAGCAGGTTCCACCTCCTGGCTCTGTCTCTGCGATCGGGTCGCGACCTGACACACCGCAAACCATCGCATCCCGCCTTTCTGACTCCCCTGCTACTCGCCAGCCTCGTATTCTGCGTGTAGTAGAAACCCCGAAGCCAGAAACTCCTCCCATTGTCACCGCACCCTCTGTGCCCGCTTCTGTCGCTGGAGGTACCAAGTCCCGCTCTAGAAGACAGAGTATCTCGTCAACCAGCGTCCCTGACACTCCTGCTGATATGGGATGGGAAGCTGATTACTATCCTTCCACCTCTGCTTCTCGTGCCAATTCCCCTCCTGCTTCTACTCGTATCGGCTCCGCCCCCGTTCGCTCCATGACCAAGAGCCAGGTCAAGAAGGAGCGGAAGCAGAAGGCAAAGGAGGCCGAAGCTAAGAAGGTCGAAACTGCGCCTGTGAATGAGGAGCCTGTTCAAGCGCCTATCATGGGGCGAAAGCGCAAGACCAAGAAGGCCCCCACAGCCACCGTGAGCACAGCCGATGCACCCGCTGCTAGTGCCCCAGAAAAAGCGAGCCCTGTGAAACCCGCGAGTGTTTCTCCAGTCAAGGCCGAACCCAAGGTAGATACTACCGCAAAGAAAGTCAAAGCCAAGGAGATTAAGCCTGTCAGGGAGCCTACTCCTCCCCCTGTTGAAGAGCCACCTGTTCAGAAGGAAATCCCCGTAGAGCCATGGCGTTCAAACAATACAGTGGGACAGTTAGTCAAGGACTCCGAGGCTCTCGGAAGGGCAATCAAGGATCTTTTCGTTGAACGAACTAAGCCTCTTCATGAGTTGCTCGCTGAGATGCACAAGTCCGGCGAACTTGATCTCAACAAAAGTTCCCTCTTCAACCCTCCCAACCTCAGCCAGCGCACCGACATGAAGTGCACTGCGGAGGATTACGATTATCTCCAGTGTCCCAACGAGTTGACCGAGGAGGATCGGAAAACTCTGCTTCGTGGAGAGCCTGTTCGAATTGGCGATGATTCCCTCAAGACTCGATGCCTCATCACTCCCCCGCGGTTGTGTCTTGCGCCATCTGGAGCCAGAAGAGGAGGAGCGGTACCTTGAGCTGGAGAAGAACATGGCCGGTATCACGGATCCTTTCATGACTGGAGACGATGCAAGCAATCCCAGTGGAGGCCTGGAAGCACTTTTCGCGAACCCAGAAAAGTTCAACATCTGCTGGGTTGACGACATGCCCACTCGCCTGGGTGCCACTTCCCCATCCTCTTCTCTTGAGGCGGCGGAATCCGTGATCCCACCTAATGTCCTCTCGGCCATGGAGGCAGACAGCACCCGCAACCATGACTGGGCCGTCGCCAACTCGGCAGAATTTCTCAACACCACCCCTGCTGCTGTTCGCTCCTTTGCTGCAGTTACCGCGCAGCATATGCTGGGCAATCCGGGCATGGTCGGTACCAACCCAACCCTCGACGACGTTGCCGGCTTGACCAACGAGGAGCTGAAGGATCTCTCCGGTCGTTCTCAGAAGGACCTCGAGCTCACCCGGAAAGAAATGGATTCGCTGGACAAGAAGTTTGCAGCTTTGCTTCGACGCAACAAGAAGCTTCAGCAGCAGGCATTGAACTTTGCTGCTGGGTCGGAGCTGTAATCAGCAATCAGCCATTGACTCTATCTTGGATCGGAGTTGTCGGTCCTTTTCGCAATCGCGTATTCCTGGGCGGACTTGGACTTGGAATTTCTATGCGTGTACATATGGATTTGCATGATACCCCGGATGGTGTGGTATTTCACGGCGTTCTAGTCCATTCTGTATCATTATCTATCTTAACCTGAATGAATAATTGTAACATTATTTTTGTCTACCTAGTCCTAGTAACCTGATTTCTAACTTTTTTATTAGACATGCACTTTCTAGGCTCATCCTTAATACTATACTTAAGATACACTGAGCAACCAAATTTCAAATTTAAGAGACCCCTCAACGCCAAGTGAACATCGAAACATCTCCAGAATTGAATGTTACAAGTTCTGGGTGTGATATATATATATATATATATTGCACCTAAATCTGCCAGTCAATGGGTCATATCTGAGACATGGCGCGTTCACTACATTGTAGCCATTACATGCGAGTAATATATCTGAACTCCGATTCTCATCGGCTAATGTAGCTCAAAACATCAATATCTACAGATCAAGGGGGGATATGCCAAGAGATCAATTACCGCCTCCGCCAGGGCTGGAACTCTTGACTTCCGCATTCCTCTACTCTGTACATTTCAATCAAGCCCAGACATTTAATGAGGGCTCATTCCTCCGAAGGGATCCGACAATACGGAGTAGCTCATTCTTGGTGTCACACGATGCCTATTTGGCTATTCAGGGCGAATGAACCATTTACCTCGTGTCCAAGATGTCTGGCTCTTGAAACATGTGGTTGATTGGTGTCAATTTAGGTCTCTTGCTACTTGCGACTTGGAAACAATAGGGATTGAGCCTGATCTTTGACTCTGCTGTTGCTATCCGATCCCTTTCTTCCCATAGGATATTATTTCCCGAGTCTCTCGGCATGCCCAGGTGTATAAAGCGTGCATTACTCACATAGTATACTTTCCCGTCAGTCTTGTTAGTCTTTTTTTCCCTTTCCTTGCACTAATTTCTATATAACTGGCTCCTCTGGGTGCCATATTCATTTGTTTCCTTCCTCGCTTTTAGCCCAAACATATAAAACGATGTTCCTATTACTTCCTATCATAGCTACTGTGCTTACCCTAGCCTCAACCGTCATATCAACCAGCCTACTAGTTCCGCTATATGCCTGGCCTGGCATAGATGCATGGAATACAATCTACGACTCCATCGCAGCCCACCCCTCAATCTCATTCTACCTAATCATCAACCCATCAACCGGTCCCGGCGACACAGAATACCCAGAAGAAGTCTTCATAACTGCCATCGCGAAGCTAAACAGCTATTCCAATGCCAATTTACTGGGATACACCCATACAAAACAAGGCACACGATCCAGCTCCGAAGTCGAAAAGGACATCGCTACCTACGCGAAATGGGCCACCTACACAGGGAAGAATATCCGTCTCTCCGGCGTCTTTTTCGACGAGGCAGCCAACGGTGAAGATCAGAGCAAGCTCGCCTATTTCGAGAACTTGTCGAGGAAGTCTAAGAGCAGCGGCTTAAACACCGTTATCTTTAACCCTGGCGTCAAGCTCGTGGCTGATGTTGGCAAGTGGTTTGCGGCGGCGGACTTTATTGTCGAGTATGAGAATACTTATGCTAATTGGGTCGCTCTGGCTCCTGATGAGCATTTCTCGACGCCTGGTTATTATGAAAAGAGTGCTGTTATTTTGAATCAGACGCCTGGGGATGCCGATGTCGATGATGTTGTTCGGTTGGCGAAGGGTATGGGGCTCGGTGCTATTTATCTGGCTTCGGATGAGAATTATATGAGTCTCTCTACTGTGCCTAAGGTCGCTGTTGCTGTTGCGCAAAGTCGGAGGGCTCGGCGTAGGGGGTATGGACGATATTAGGGTTTGTATATTTTTATATTGTTCTTGGCTAGTGAGAGATCCCATAAATAAATGCAGCTGGAATATTCAATAAACATCATAACTAAACATCTTTGCTCTGAACATCCCCGGAATCTAAATGGATATAGCTCTTGTATTTGATATAACCCTCTAACACCCGAAGGGGCGCATATATATTTTGTAGAGACAACCCCTCTCAATCCAAACCATTAATACCATCCTTATACGGCCGCAGATCATACTCATCAGGATAAGTCTCCAAGATGCGCTTAAGCTCCGCCATCTGCTCCCTCTGCTCCTCAGTAATCTCCTCATAAACATCCGCAAAAGCCTCCCTAAGTGAAGGCTTCTTCTCCTGCTCCGCCTCACCAAATTCCTTCAACACGGCCTTCCGCATCTCATCCCGCGTCTCCTTCTCCTGCTCTTCACTCCAAATCCCCTGATTCTCAAGCCACTTCCGCAGCCGGATAATGGGGTTATCCCGACGTTTCCAATCCTCAACTTCGACGCGGGCACGGTACGCAAAGCTGTCGTCACTGGTACTGTGGTGCGAGACACGGTAGCTCATGGCTTCGATCAGTACAGGCCGACCACCGTCACTTAGGGCAAGTCGACGCGCCTCTTTCATTGCTTCGTTTACGGCGAAGACGTCGTTGCCGTCGACGCGGATCGTATCAATGCCGTATCCCACGCCGCGACTGGCGATTCCATCGCCTCGGTACTGCTCTAGTGTTGGTGTTGAGATTGCGTAGCCGTTGTTTCGGCATATAAAGACGACTGGGCAGGATCTTGTTGCGGCGATGTTCAGTGCGGCGTGGAAGTCACCCTCGCTGGCGGCTCCTTCGCCGAAATAGCAGGCTACGATGCGTGGATCCCGATTTGGGTTTTGGAGGTCTTGGAGTTTCAGGGCGTAGGCTGCTCCGGCAGCTTGAGGGATTTGTGTGGCTAATGGTGATGAGATCGTGTGCTGTTGGGTGTGTGAGTTACGAAATGGACTTTGCGGTAGCAAGGAGGTGATACTGACCATGCGAGGATAGTTTTGTCCGTAGTGGACTGGCATATTTCGACCACGGCCTGTATCATTGCAATTGGAGAATAGCTGACTCATGAAGTTCTTTAGTGTGAATCCACGTTGCTGGAATACACCGGCTTCGCGGTATTGTGCAAAGACCACATCATCTGGCGTTAATGCTGCGGCGGACCCAACCGTGATGCCTTCTTCGCCGGCGGAAACCTACAGATAATCGGTCAGATTAGCAGTGTGCTTTTCACAATTAATAAATTGGACATACCATGTAGAAACTCAAGCGACCCTGTCGTTGTGCCTCGAACATGACCACATCCATAACGCTTACTGCATGGCAAAAGTTAGCTACTTGGCATCACGTCAAGCGGGGGCTAACTAACCAGACAGCATATTTTTGTACCATGTCAAGACCTCCTCATTTGTAACATCGGGTGCTGGTCTCGTCTTATCAACCTGGTAACCGTCCGAGTCCATTACTCGGTAGGTAGGGATAGCGGGCAGATCCGAGGCTTTAAGGAAGGTCATCTCCGAGGTGAATTTGCTGTTGACAGCTCCTGGGAATCGAACGCTAAACAAATCAACATCTTGTCAGTGGCTCCAAAAAAGACCAAAAAAAAACATTGTCTTTTAAGTAATCACCTGTCTGACCCCGGCCGCTGCGAGATGGAGCTACTCCACCTCCGTGCGGGGACGATGCGCGCTGCAGTTATGGGCTGGCTGCGCAGGCCATTTCGAGTCAGGAGGTTTAGAGACATTTTGGCGTCTCTTGTTATTAACATTGTAGATTTAATTTGTTTCAATGAGAGAAAGGTGAGAGATTGGGTCTTTGAGTGTTAAATCTGGGGATTGCGGAGAGCGGTTGGCGTCGGCATTTTAACGTCACCGCGGCCAACCGAGTATCCGATGCATGCGGGGAAGAGAATACAGACACATTTGGAACATTTCAACATCTCACTTGATTGCATTCTTTGTATTCTCGGTATCTTTATTCCATATCTAAAATGAGGTCTCAAATATCACACACCTCAAAAAACCCCCAAGCGGTGTAGCTCAAATCCATCGCGGATCATATGCTGCATTGAGACAGGGATGGCGAGAGTGCCAATACGTTCCTCTTGCACCCATTGATATTCAAAGAACTCGTCGTAACGGATTGTGATGAGGTCGAAAGATTCATCATAAATCACAAAGTTGAGTTTGATGATGACTTCCCCTTCAGATCCCCACCTCAATGACCCCACCTCCTCGATAATGTGGTCACCCTGGAGTCCAAGACCGGTCTTGTCGAGAACTATGCGCTCCACGGTATCGCGGATGGCCCCATCAGTATTGAGAACTGGGCCTATTGGAACATTACACCATTGACATGTGGCCTCACCGGTGGCTCGCCTCATAAGTAAGACAGCGAGCTCTCCGTTCGCTCTGTACCGGAAGACTGCTGCGCTGATGCGCCACTGTATGCCTGATTCTAAGTCTGCGACTCTACCGTCGATGCCTGGGTATGTCATGACTAGATAGACGAGTTTGATTTGAGAAGATGGAGATATAGTTGATTGGTGGGAAGTTGAAGTTACACAAAGGGCAATATGTAGATACTGTTTGCTATTTTGTTTGCTATTTTGGCTTCTAAAATGGTTTATTTTCTCATTTTCTAGGACTTGTACGAGGATGAAGTCAACAAGAGGATGAAGTCAAAAAGGACAGCCCGAGTATGTAAAACGGCCACCAGTAAGGGGGAAATATCTAAAAAAGGATATCTGTGAAGACTACCGAGAAGAACACTAACAATTCTACTAACAATTCCACTCCAAAAAACTACCAAGACAGTTCCTGGAAAATGAAGCCTGAGGTCATTGGATATGATGACATTGGTGCCTGCACCAGGCTTCGGCTCCACTATTCGATGGAGACGATGACATAGTTGGCATGAGCTTTCTTTATACCTTCGAATTTCGAATTTCGAATTTTATCTTCAATCCTTTGTACATTCAACCAAATAACCATGCATGAAACCGACCAAATCCGCGAGGTATTAAATACCGATATCAGAACTCCCATCCCGCAGGCACTCGTAACCCAGATCACATCCATGCCACCATTTATACCTCTACAAGGTGTCACCAACTTTCGCGACGTGAGCCACGATGGCAACATGCTACGTCCGGGATTCTTTTATCGATCCGGAAACTTGTCCGACATCTGGGGGCCCGGGAAATCGGTCATCGCAACCGAATTGGGAATCACCACTATCTTCGACCTCCGGAATGAAGGTGAGCGACAAAAAGCACCGGCGCCTTCTATCACAGGAGTCGAGACGATATGGTTACCATACGGAGCTCGACCGGCGACTTTGAATCTCCGTGATTTTGCAGGCCCAGACAGGGGCGCTGCAGGCTTCGTGAAGATGTACTTCGGGATCCTTGAGGCGGCTGCACCATGTTTCACTGAGATATTCAAGCATATCAGAGATAAACCGGATGATCCGTTCATTGTTCATTGTTCGGGTATGTTACGTATATATCACTTTGCTCTCATGTTTCATTTTGACATAATCGCGTGCAAATCCCATTCATAATAGATCGTGCTAACCATAAGTTCCCACCCATAGCCGGGAAAGATCGCACAGGTGTCTTCGCCGCTCTCGTCCTCCTCCTGATCAATAGACCTCATGACGATATTATCAACGATTACATCCTCACTCGAGTTGGACTTGAAAGCGCCCGGGAGAACCTCATGCAAGCATTTGCGATAAATTCGGGGGGTGATGCAGCCGACGTCAGCCAATTGTCTCCCGAGGCATTGGGTATGCTCGAATTGTGTGGTGTTCGAGCTACTTCCATGGCAGCTTTCCTGGCATCATTTGAGAGCACGTTTGAAAACGGCGTGGAGGACTATCTCATTGATGGACTTGGATTTACACAGGGTGATGTATCGGCGATGCGCAGGAATCTGACAGTGGATCAACTGCGGACACCTAGAAAATATAAAGAAGCATGTATAGATACACATGTATAATGGGAAGATAGACAGCATTTCATGTTTGAGATTTTTGCCAATAAACATTTGATGAACGATCCCCATTGAATGTCATGTTACTAGGATTATAGTATTTCAGGATTCTGACAGCTGAAGATAATTACTGGGCATAAGAGGCAGGCTAATTTAACGTGCTCACCTTCTTAGTATTAATGAATCTGGGAGTGAAGTTAGTCAGACTCCCTACACGCTGTCTTTCAATCAATTTAAAAACTACGGGGACGCTCGAAATCCGTTTCACTATTTTACTCTCTTCGCTCTCTTTAAATCTATTATAAAACTTTAGTCCTTCTTGAATTTAGTCTTTCCGACCTTCTCGAGATATTTGTGGCATAAGCCATCTGGATACTTCCTACACAAAAATGCAAATTAGAAGCTGCTAACAAAAGTAAGGTTAAGTAGATGATTGATTGAATGATATTAACTATGTCCGAAAAGCATTAACTCATAGATATGGCTTCATAAAGCACAATCTTTCTCTCTCGTCTCGTAGAGGCCCATACCTTGATACCTCATCAGTTCGTTATCACAGGAGTGCTTCGATCCCAAGTGCTCTTCTCAGCAGCATCCACCAGACATGCCGCCACACTAGCCCTGGAGATCCCTCCCAAGCCCGCGAAAACACCGAGTCCTTTCCCGTCGTCGCCGAAGAACTGAACGGGCGCTTTCTTTCCCAGAGTCAGTCTTGCCGCCCGGAACAACACGAATTTCACTCCGCTCTTCTTGAGTGTCTCATCGACTTGATTATGGTCCTCGAACACATAATTCAAGCTGGTTTTGGAAATTGCGCATCTCATAATCACAGTGATATTCGGGAAAGAAGACCCAACACCAAATGAAGCCAATGTCGCAATTTTGGAAACGCCGTGCCTTTCCATCGCAGCGATGAGGTTTTCGTGCGCGTTCGTCATGACTCGGGTCCCCTTTACTTGCGGGGATGCCAGAGTAACGATCACAGCAGTTGGGATATCTCCTTGGACTGCGTTGAAAGCGGTTTCAACGTTCGAAGGCTCCAGTGGTGTGCCCTTCACGATGGTTAGGCCTTCCCTAGCTGGAAGGGTAGAGGGATCCCGAATCAAGGCTGTAATCTTGTGGCCGCGCTGCAATGCTTCATCGATGACGAGACGGCCAGTCTGTCCATTGCCACCAATAAGAAGGACACGCATACTGACGATACTGTTGCGTTGTGGTAGGATGCTTGTAGTGATTTTAACTTTGAAATAAATAGACGATGAATTGGATGCTCTGGAACGACATATAGCCAAGGAGCTCCTATCGGGTATATATAGCTATGGTATGAACTATATTGGGAGTGTTGCGGCTGATTCAATGTAAGGACCAGCTACAATAACCTTAGAAGTTCTTCGGCATATTACAAAGCCTGCTACTAGAAGTGAATGACGCGTAGGTTGTTGCCTTGTCAAATATACCTGCTGCGGTCATCTTGTAGACCGAAATCCGTGTGGTAGGTCGGGCATCGCTAAAAGTTACGTCCGTAGAATTACAAATGCAGTTGCTTACAAAGAGGGGACATGACGTTCACACCTGGCGCCTAATGTCTAATTACGGGTGCAGGCAATTCCCCCCAACCAGTTCGAGGGAGATTCTTTTTTTTTTTTTTCTTCTTCATACAACAATCTCCTAAACGCAAATTTATGCTTATTCGTCATAGGATTTGTTCTTGGCCCTATTAGCATAGAGATATCAGACTAAAGCTTTTTGCATAAAAAGTAGTCTTGGCAGTCATAAACTAGCTTAATCAGCAGAATTATATACATTAGCTTGTTTGTTTAGTTTGTAACCCAATTTAAGGCTGACTCAATTCATTTCTGAGCCAACTTGTTTAATCACCGCAAATCTACAGAATACTCCTTACATGTTAACCATCATGTTTTGACCACTCATCGGCTAACTGGCCAACTCTTTTACAATCTATCGTTTACCAGTAGTTCTAAACTGGTAATGCCTCGCTTACTGAAAGAATACAAAATACATGAATACATGAAATAGTCATTAAAAGAGACTTGATTTATTGAAGCAAAGGTGAATAAACTCGCTTTTTCTTGCTTCTAGAGCCATACATTGATTACTTGTTCTAGATCACGTTTCGGGGACCCTTGGACCCCGCACTAAGAAATTAAGCCTTGAGCCTCTCAACCTTCTGTATACATACAACATAATTACTTTGTAGTTTCAATACTGCAATACTGCAGTCCCTACAGGGGACATAGGTATATCCTGCAGGTCTAGACCGGAATTCTCTTCATCTCACCGGGTATCGCAATTCGTACCTTAGTGGTGTTACCGTTACTTTTTCCTCGCGAGGGGTGCTGAGGGCTACATGCCTGTGTGGCACCATTCTATTTCAACTCCGAACAACACCGTGGTTGATATAGTATTTTGATTGTAGATCATCTACTTGATTCTCCGACATTTCGCCGCCACTATCAGATCTATAGAGATAAATAGGGCTTACATAGGATCGCAACCCTTCAATCTCGCATCACAGCATAGTTTGGGATTTTGACGTTATGCATCTTTGGAATCACCTTGTACTAGCAGTGCTTCCATCGATTCTGTCAATAACTCTGGGGCAGAATGTTTTGGATTTGAGCGGTGATGGATGGACTGTTAGCAGTAAGGCGCTGAATGTTAGCGTCCCTGGCCGTGTCCCCTCACAGGCGCATTTGGACCTTCTGGCCGCAAATGTTATTGGTGAGTCCTTTTTGATTACAAAAATTCACCAATCTAACAAGAAAAAACAGATGAACCGTTAGTTGAAGCTCGTTTCTCCTGCAATGGTTCTATACTGACTCGAATCACGTCGAAGCTACTATGGATTGAATGACTTCGACTTGCGTTGGATCGTAGACAGCAATTGGACTTACACAAGTAAACCAATTAAGGGCTTGTCTGTACCCTTTGCTATTTCAATTGAAATTCTTACTAATTTTTCACAGGTCGAGCAACTCTAAGTCCTCCTGGCTTGTTTTTAATGGACTTGACACGTTTACAACCATCGAGTTCTGCGGTCACTTCATAGGAACCACAGACAACCAGTTCCGGCAGTATACTTTTGACATTTCCACTGCCCTGAAAAATTGCAAAGGTTCCCCGATCGTCTCTCTCGATTTTGGAAGTGCTACTAAGATCCAAAATGCAATTGCCGCTGATCCAAACGCCCCCGGTAAGTATTCTATCACTAGACATGACACTAGGTCCAATGTCTGATAAAGTCTGCAGAATGGCCGACTGGTGTCCAGGAAACCTATGAATTCCCTAACCGCTGGTTCATTCGTAAGGAACAGTCCGACTTTGGTTGGGATTGGGGCCCAGCGTTCTCACCTGCTGGTCCATGGCAGAATATCTACCTGGTGCAGTCTGAGAAAGAGGAAGATTTATATGTTCTAAACACAGGATTTGACATCTATCGAAAGGGCCAGATTAATCACCTTGCTCCTGATCAGAGTCAGCCCTGGATTGTGAATGCAAGTATTGACTACCTCGGCTCCCCGCCTATCCATCCATCCATGTCTATCGAAATCAAGGATGTCCAGTCGGGAAAAGTACTGAAGTCCGGATCGCTCGATAACGTTGTTGTATCTGGACAAACTATCAGCGGTACTACCATAGTTGATGCAGTAAGTTTTCAATAACGGGATAAGAGATTATGTCTGACAACGTCTCCAGACAGCACCAAATCTCTGGTGGCCCGCGGGTATGGGCAAGCAAAGTATGTACAACGTTACAGCCACTATTCAGAACAAAGACCAGAACCTCATCAGCGTAACCAAGCGCACTGGCTTCCGTACCATTTTCCTGAACCGATCCAATATCACCGATGTCCAGTTGGCGCAGGGTATCGCGCCCGGCGCGAATTGGCATTTCGAGGTGAATGGTCATGAGTTCTACGCCAAGGGCTCGAACTTCATTCCACCGGATGCCTTCTGGCCACGAGTCACCGAGGCCAAAATGAAGCGACTCTTTGACGCCGTTGTCGCTGGAAATCAGAATATGCTCCGAGTCTGGGCTTCAGGCGTTTACCTTCCGGACTTCATATACGATCTCGCCGACGAACGCGGAGTGTTGCTGTGGAGCGAGTTCCAATTCAGTGATGCTCTGTATCCCACGGACCAAGCGTTCCTTGACAATGTTGCTGTCGAGATCGTCTACAATGCGAGACGCGTCAACCATCATCCATCCTTAGCTTTGTGGGTTGGTGGAAATGAGCTTGAAAACTTGGAGCTACCAACCGCTAAGAAAGCTGATCCTGCATCCTATGCCCATGTGCTTGGCGATTACGAGCATCTGTTCATTTCTCTGATTCTCCCGTTGGTTTACGAGAACTCACGATCGATTTCATATATGCCCAGTAGCACCAACAACGGTTTCTTGGAAGTTGACCTTTCTGCCCCAGTTCCTATGATTGAGCGTTACGAAAATGGCTCCGCAGAAGGCTATTATTATGGTAACACAGACTACTACAATTATGATGTCAATGGGGCGTTCAACTCCGACGGCTACCCCGTCGGCCGCTTCGCTAACGAATTCGGCTACCACAGCATGCCAAGTCTGCAAACATGGCAGCAAGCCGTGGATGAGAAAGACCTCCACTTCAATAGCAGTACTATCATGCTCAGAAACCACCACTACCCAGCAAACAGCCCAGACACCCACAACTACAGTAACTCATCTAAGGGCATGGCCGAAATGACCATAGCAGTAGAGACATACTACCCAGTCCCCGACAAGCAAGACTCCATCGCCAACTTCAGTTCCTGGTGTCATGCAACCCAGCTCTTCCAAGCAGATATGTACAAGTCCGAAATCCAGTTCTATCGTCGCGGAAGCGGAATGCCTGAGCGCCAGCTCGGATCCCTGTATTGGCAACTCGAAGATATCTGGCAGGCTCCGACATGGGCTGGCATCGAATATGACGGCCGCTGGAAGGTCCTCCACTATGTCACCCGCGATATCTT